CAGCATCATTCCTCAGGAAGGCACTGTCCACTTTGTTGAGATCTCTCACTGACCTGGGGCTCACACCAGGCTGCCTGGCCAGTGACCCTGAGGGCTCTCCCTGTCACTGCCCTCAGGTGCTGGGATTGCGAGCATAAACCGCCACACCCAGCTTTTTAAGACATATTTTTATTTTATTCATGTGTATTAATGTTTTGTATGCTCATATATATGTGTGCATGCATGCCAGGTGCCCTGAGAGGCCAGATGTGGGCTTTGAAAAGACCCCCTAGAACTGGAGTTACAGACGGCTGTGAGCCACTATGTGGAACGAAACTTGGGTCCTTTTCAAGAGCAGCACACGCTTTTAACTGCTGAGCATCTCTCCAGCAGACCCAGCTTTTTGTTTTTTTAATGTGAGTTCTGGGAATGAAATTCAGGTCTTCACATCAGGAAGAAAGCACCTTACTAACTCCCTATCTCCCCAGAACCCACTTTCTGTGGCTTTCTGAACTGGAGTTAGTGTCTTTCCCTCGGCCTCCCCACGGCCCTCAATGTGCAGTTTCCCTAAGTATGGAAGGGCGTGGCGGTTCAGTGCCAGAGCACTGGGCTGGCACTAGCACAGATGGTGACTTCAGAAAACCTGCCTTAGAAAGACCCCCCGCCTGGCTGCCCCCTGCCAGCCCAGTGCACGCCAGCAACACCTGTAAACACAAGGCGATTTGCACCAAGCCCAGAGTGACAGCCCCAGTCTCCGTGAGCTTTTCTCTGTGTGTGGGGGCAACTTCTCCTTTTCTTTCTCAGAATCATGTCTTCCTGATTTAAGCAAATTCATGGGTTGTGTTTGTCCAGATCCTCAGGTCAGAGTGTGTGCATGTGGGGCCAACGCTGTTGTTTCTGCTCCATGGTAGAAAACCTGGACATTGCCTTGTGGAGTCAGCACCCAGGTAATCCCCTTGTGCTGGAAGTGCTAATGGCCAGCTGGAACCCCAGACACCTTTCTCGGCACAAACCCAACCAGGCGCGTCACCTGGATGGGGCTGGATTTCCACTGGGTGTCTGCTGAGGTGCTAGATTACCCCCGAAGCAATCATTAAAAACAAACCAGCCCGTACAGATTTCTAGGCAGATGTTTGGTTACAGCTGCAAATTTCAGCTGCTCTGTGGTGTATTGGCACAGAACGTCCCCACGCCCTTAGCTGCGGCTGACTCCGGTCTT